AGCGGGGACAGCCATACTTGATCTTGTATAAATTGGACGGTTCTGTCACACATTTGGTGATTGTTGCTTCATTTTTGGTGGCTTGCTGGATGAATCATGGACGGTGAACCAAAGATGATTGGCGCGTGTTGGCAGTCAACATCCCATCAAGTTTAACTTCAAGTAAACAAGGTGGAGCTGTAAAGTGTTGATAGGTTGGATTGGATTGTCTAAGCTACCAGATATATCCTATTCCCTCCATTTCAAAATATAAATCATTCCAACTTTCTTGGAGAGTTAAATCATCTCAAGTTTGACCAAATTATAGAGAAAATTACAAAGATTTATGATATGAAACAAACATGTATACTATGAAAATATAATTAATGAAGAATCTAATGATACTTATTTAGTAACATAAATGTTATTATTTTATTATATAAATTTGGTCAAACTTGAGATGATTTAACTCTCAAGAAAGTTGGAATGACTTATATTTTGGGACGAAGGGAGTATTTCTGAAATCCAATGATCTAATTCAGTTATCTGATTCGAGTCATCTAATATTTTCTTGTTGATGGTGTCTCTACGGATTTGGACATTTAGGTTTAGTAATAGTAGAATAATGTACCGATCTCATGATCTCATATCTTATTGTGATCTGAAGGCGTTTTCTTATAAAACACTGAGGCATTATTATCTTATTTGAGGTAATCATAATAGTTCTTTTACTATTGTTTTAGTTTTTTTGTATTGCCGTATCAAACTTTATCTTTTATAAATTTAATATATGCTGCAAGTATCACCACAATATGCTTTATTTATCATATTATGAATGAGAAAAATATCTTAAATGGCCTATAATCTCATGTTTGCCTAAATGTCCTCAAAACTATAGAGACGGCCCTGGCTAGCTGCTGAGCATTCAGTGATAAAAACACTGGTGGAAGCAGAACCAGGGGGCCTTGCGCCCCCCCCCCCAAAAAAAAAACACAGTGATTTTTCTAAAATACCTATAGAAAATTCAATTGCATAGCTAAAAAAATTATTATTTCACTCTAATCTGATGATAAATATGTGCTTTTTCATTATGAGTACTAAATATATGTTTAAAACATTGAAAAGCTATTGAGATATATATTTGTTGTACATATTTATCATGTTTATGAGGTGTCATCGTATTATCCGGCCCCCTTATTCAAAAGTTCTGGTTCCGCCACTGATTGAAAAATGTGTATACTTGTTTTTGGTAACTCTGATAATGGAGTGGTTCCTTCTGTGGAGGAGATGAATGGCTTTTATAGGTGCTTTACCAAAGGAAATGCGAGCAAAAAGGAAATCCTGTTAACCTTTATGGAATGCTGGCATCTTCGAAATGATCAGATTCATGGTAAAGGTGACGCGACAAGTCGAGGTTCAGTTCAATTAAAGACCACTGGGATTCACTGTGCATGGTCCTGCAAAAGGGAGATGTACAAAAGGAAAGATAGAAAGAACATATGCGAAGGAACGATTGTTCTAGTATTTGTCAGCCTGGACAATACAAACTAGTGGAACAGTTTTTTTAACTGTATTGGAGATAATATGTTCCACGGAGAAGTGAAAATTTGTTCAATGAGAAAGAAAAAATTAGATTATCAGCTGTACTTTTTCAACGAAGTAACAATATTTTTTTCTCACAACAAATCAACAAATAGTACTTTTCAGCTTAACTTTTCAGCAAAGCGAACAAGGTCATAGCAAACTATCCAGTTAAAAGAGAAATTAGAGAAATTGTTCCACGGGATAAGGAAAACAATGTTCGGCTTTTACTTGGAAAATGTGTAATTACTTTCAGACTTCACACGCCATATGCTTTCTCTCGTCAGGACACCTCAATAATAAAAACCAGATATTAACTCTTAGATACCATCTCATCATGTATGTCTCATAAATACCATCTCATCATGTATGACTCACATATAGTTCATATATTCTCTTTCCTATCAAGAGAGATATAGAGGAGTTATGTCTCTCCTGCATTTGGATGCATAAAGAGTTTAGCTCTTCTCCTTCCTGCTAGCTCAAAGGTTTTTGACGTCACTCTTCTTCACATGGCATCTACTCTTTCCGTTCCAAAGTACAAGTCACTTTGACTTTTATAGTTTATTTATTTTGCTATGTATCTAGACATATTATTATATCTAGATGCATAGCAAAAATAGATATACTAAAAAAATCAAAGCGACTCATAATTTAGAAGTGAGGGAGTAATACACTAGTAAGCTGTACGGAAAAAGTCTACTTAACCCCCCACCTTTCATACTTAGTCTACTTCACCCCCCTTCTATCAGAAACTGTCTGTTTACCTGAACTTTTCAAAACCGTCTATTTTACCCTTCCCCGTGCGGTTTTTGACAATGGGGTTTTGTACATTCTTAACTTTGTTGTTTTTATTAGGTTTTTGACATTGCTTTTTGGGGGTTTAAAATTTTTAAAATTTTTTTTTTGAATTTATATTGGTATGCAATTTTTTTTGTATTAGATTAATTGAGAAATCCAATTTTTTCTCGTAATTAATTAGAATTTATCTATAACTAAGTTATATATAGTCCAATGAGTACGAAATTTTTACTATAGTTCAAGCATACAATAATTAGCGTACCATAAAAATTTCATCACAATTGGATCATAGAAGCTGCAGCTATGAATTATTCCAATTAATTACAGACAAAATTAGATTTTTCCAATTAATCTAAGGCTACAAAAAAAATTGTACTAAAGCATACCGTATTATATATTCACTGTGTAGATCTACTCATGTGGAGTCCAATAAAATTAGATTTTTTATTTTATGATTTTTCTATGATTTACTATGATTTTTCAAAAATTCACCGAAAATAAAAAAAATTCAGACCCACCGCAATGTTGCAAACCCCGTTACTGTAGCAACCCGCTGTTACTGTAGCAACCCGCTGTCAAAAACCACCCGAGGAGTAAAATAGACGGTTTTGGAAAGTTCAGGAGTAAAACAGACGGTTTCATAGCTGGGGGTGAGGTAGACAAGTATCAAAGGTCTGCACTAGAGCTGATCATTCGAGCCCCGCCAACAGGTCGCCTGGGCCCGGGCCATTTGCCGCCAGCCGCCAAGGGCCCCCCCTACTTGACTTGACCCCCGCAGTCCCGCTGCCGTGGCAGGCGTCAGATGGGCCTTCAATCGTCGACGACCCGCGGCGACGACCCAAGCGTCAGCTGGGCTTTTACAAGGCTTACGCCGCAGGAAAATGGGCTCAGTCCGCCTCGACTGACCCCAAACCAGCTGCTGATGGTGATGGACGTCGGCAGCCCACTATAGTGTAGAGGTTCGTAATCATGCCTGCGTGTCTGGTACTCTCTGGTTCCGTGGACAGCTGGTCTAGTGCTGTGCAAAGCCGCACTGCATATGCCGCCGTGTCTTGTGAACAAAGTGAACTGCGTCCGGTAGGTGCACGAAAGGCATGGGTACAGACACACACGGCCTCTTGGTCGCTGTTAGTTGGGGATCTGGGAGTTTCGTCATAAACGCCGCCGTGATCGTATTCATATGTACACTAGTACTTCCAAAAACAAAAGGCAGAGGATCCGCGTTTTTTTGTTCGAGATCCAAGAGCACTTGGTGGCGTGGTCGATCGAGAGACCTCACTTTCCCTCTCAATCACAGGCATAGGTTTCCTATGGCTAGAGATGCAAATTGCAAATGCATGGATGAACGGGACTGGGAGAGCGCGCGCTGTCACTTGACAATAGCATTTGCAGACTTGCAGTGCCGCTGCTTCCAAAGCTGGGGAAACTCGATGAGATCCCGGTCCCTTTTACCCCGATTCTCCGGGATCACGAAAGAAAACAAGGGCCCACTAGTCAGGCCTACAAACCATCTCCTCTTTTTTTCTGCGGTTAAAAAAAGGAAACACCAAAAAAAAAAAAAACTGCCGCGTCGCGAGTCGCGACCCGCGATGCTGGATCTGGGTTCCCTCCGGTGGCGTCGTGGAGAGTGCAGAGATTTTCGGCAAGCTGGTGCTGGTGTGGTGAGCACGGTCAAGGATGGACACGACCCACGCGCATGGGGCGTGCGCCCCATACGTGACATGCCGGATCGCGGCGTGCGTGCGGGGTCATGGTGGGCGTGCCACCGCCACGCCTCCCGCCTCCCGGAACTGGGGGGACCATGCGTGCGTCGCCGTCGCCATCACGACTGCACGGCCGTCGACTAGCTGCTCCCTGCCTCCCAGTGTCGTCGTCGCCCTGGCTGCCTGCTCGCTCTGCGGTCCTCGCTCCTCAGCCCACAACCTGACAACTTCAAGCCGCAACGCTGAGCCTTCGCCCATCACCATTGTTCATACATAGCCCGGAGGAGCATGGGGAACACAAGGGATGCAAAGCTGCAGGAAGCAAGGAAGCACACATATCTGGAGAGTGGAGACGATGCTCCCACCAAAGACATGCACCAAACAGCTCAGATTTTACAACACCACCGAGGAATTTGGGTTTCAGTATATAGCACTATAACTCAATCACAAAACCAAAGCAGGTCTTGTTACAAGCAGGACCTCACTCTCTGTTCCCAGACTTGTAATATACCAACAAACCATACTTACCCAGCAACAACCAGTTCACATTCTAACTGACCGACCGACCGACCTGACCGACTGACCAACAGTTTCCAAGTAACCGAATTATTACCCAGAGTAAAGGGTGAAAAAGAAGAAGAAAATGAAATAATCATAATAATATCTGACTCTCCCCTATAACGGACACTAGACTAGTAACTTATTGAACGCACCTCTCGACCAAAATGGTATGAATGAATGAATAGGCATCTTCTGCCCATCCATTGCGACACTTTGTAGACACACTGGCGAGTAACTTTTGATTACATATACGAACAAATGAAGGGTATGAACAGATCCTAGGCATATATGGCAGGTGGCGAACTGGTCCACGGATATAACCTGCAAAGTTTGACGACTGCTGCTCCGCTATAACTTCTCCATACTGGTGGCCCCTTAATGTTGTACTTTCTGGGACGCTGCCATGGAGCGCAGCCTGTTTGCAATATCTGTAAAGTTTGGCCGCTCAGATGGTTCTGTTGACCAGCATTGCTCCATTAGTGACCTCCACTCTGGGTCACAGGAGTCGGGCACTGGCGGCCGTAGAGTGTTGCTCACAATGCCACCTGCATACAAAAGGTCATTTTAGGTTTAGATCTAATCAATAAGGATTATTGACCACATCTACTGCAATAGAACTCCCACGGGGTAAGAAACACTTATGCCACAGCAGATTTGTACCCACCTATTATAACACCATAGTGTAAATCTGCATATGGCTCTTCTCCTGTTAGCAGTTCCCAGAGAACAATCCCAAAAGAGAATACATCAACCTGAGGCCAGCATAGCAACATTTGTGTCAGTTCCAAGTGAGAACTTGGAAGAGCCAGTATGTCAACATTCATGTGTCAATTCTATGTGAACTTCAAGGTGCCAGCAGAACCAAAAGAATACTCCAAATCATATGTATACTGAAGAATAGAAACCAACTATCACACCTTTTCTGAGACCAAGCTACTGCTACCATTCAGAAGTTCTGGGGCCATCCATGGAAGTGTTCCCCGGACACCTCCAGAGATGAGGTCTGACACTTCACTTTTGAAAGCCCAAGATCACCAACCTACAAATATAGGAAAAGAGGTATTGTTTAGTGTTACCCAAATTATGGAAGCTAATATCCCTACATGCTTAACATGCTAAGATGTTAATGCATGGCATCCAACTATAACAGCATACAAAATTCAGATGGCAAACAAGCAATTCTGAAGCTACATACAAGACCATATCAGACTATTAGCATTTCTTTCTCATTAAACTGTACATCCATGCACTCCATTCAAGTTTGTACTTTTATTCACAGTACAACGAAAAGGAACTGTTCCATCATCTAGTCAATTGTATTACATATTTCTTCAAGTGCCAATAATAGGATGTGTCAGTTAAGCCACAAGGCCACAATGATCACCAGCTAAGGTGTTTAGTCCTAGATTGTATAGCAATAAACATCATTTGTGTTGTAAGACTTTTCTTTATGCAGCACCGAGTCCATGACAGAAACTGCTACATCGAAGCATACATATTACATGTTCATCCAAGTGCCAATCAGAAACCTCAGTTTGTGATACCCATCAAATGTGTATAATTTTAGAGACACATAACAATTTGCTTAAGTAACAAGTATTATCTGTGGATAAGAGTCCAGTCCTATCAGCAGTTCTTGAGCTGCCAAACTAAATGCACATCTCATAATAGTAACAAGTAATGTACTTCAAACTTACAAAAGCATTTTGTTTTACAGAAACAAAATATAGTTTACTGCTAAACATGGAAAGTTGATACAGGATGGTCTCCCTATGTCGAGCAAAGTGAATATGACAAACAAGAGAAGTCAGTGATCTAGCAACTAAGTGCAAGAATAGTATAATAATAGGATTGACTGTGCTGCTTACCTTGCATATTGGACGCTGAGGGTCCCTTAAATTAACAAGCAAATTGTCACTTTTCAGGTCAAAGTGCACGATGTTTTTGCTATGCAAGTATTCCATTCCAAAGGCTGTATCCATGGCAATAATTAATCTCTTACTTTACGTCGATCGAGGGTTCTGCCCAGAAAAAAGTAAACATCAGCGCCATGTAGCACCATCAATTTCTAATTATGAGCAGCATATATCATTACAGAAGGTGACTTATATGCAATGTAAAAGCAACGGACTTGGCATTCTTTAGCAAAGCTGTCCTAAGTGAGCCATTGACCATATATTCTGTAACTGTGGCAATGGATCCCCCAGGTCCATCAAGAACAACACCATAAAAAGCGACAACATTTGGGTGGTGCAGATCGGCAAGTTTAGATGCTTCATTCCAGAAGTCAGACCGCTGAAAATATTCAAGGCATATCAATATACAGACAAGCTTAAGAAAAAACAAAGATATGAAGTATGAGAACAAACCATCTTTTCTTGCTCAGATGGTTTCCCAGCAAAACATCTATCATTGATTCGTTTTATTGCAACATCAGTGCCTCTCCATTTACCATGATAGACAGTTCCAAAAGTTCCAGAACCAAGCTCTTGGAGCTCTTCAAGGTCATTGTTCTTTATAATCTGCAACAGCCATGGATGCAAAATGCTATAACCACGGTACAATATTAAAGATGAACACGCTTAATAAGCTATACTATGATCCTAACCTGCAGGTGTCCATCTGAAACTGGAAATCCTGAAATCCAATCTGCTGGCCTGCTCTTGGAAACCTGCACGCTTCCCTTGTTTAGCATTTTGGCTAACATAAATGAGGACATTTAGGAGCATCTAGATAATCAGTTCCTAACCTCGTTGGGGTGGACTTCACCTTCTACTTTATTGGTAATGGCCCCAACTCCATCATTTACCAGAGGAGGTTGAGGCTCGGATGACTGAGCTTTAGATGTACCTAACCCATCCTCCATACTCAGTAAATCTGGGTTAGAGATGTCATCACCTGGATTGATGATCGACATGAATAAAACTCACAAGTATATTGACAAGGTTTCAGAGTAAAGTAAGAATGGAATATTTGTGATATAAAAAGCATGTGTTGCATCTGTACCTTTGTGATCTGACTGTTTCTGGAGAGAAACATCCTCAGCTGGAATATTCAGATCTGGCCCTTTGCAGTTCAACAAAGAGTTGTGTGGATGGGGATCCTTTGGGCTGATGTTCTCCCTGCTTGCTACCCTCTTAGGTCTTGGTGGCAGTGCATGTGCATTTGCAGCTGCTTGATCCACATTTGGAGCATGGTTTGGCAATGCTGCTGTTGGCAACTGAACTGTGTTTGGAGGAGCTACGACTTCATGTGGAGCTTCCTTGTGATAAACTTCAGGCGGAACATCTCTTCTCTCATTCACTGGATTAACAGTGGCATTTGGATAGACCATATCAATACCATAAGTTGATTGAGGCAATCCACCAGGTCCGACTGTAGCACCAACATAACTAGAATAGGGTCCCCCAATGCTCATCATATGTGGCATATGGCTCATATTAACATGCTGGACATTGTGCAGATAAGAGCTGGCCACAGAAGGTGGTGGTGCAGATTCAGTTTGAAGCAATACCTTTGGTTCACTAACATCAAAAAAAGTATTGGTGTTGCTTGGATGAACCTCATTTGCTCGGGTATCTGGCCAGGTACTGATACTATTCTCTGGATGCCCCTGAGAGTGATCTGGCACTGCATTCTGGGGTAAACCACTGTCAGGAGACATTGCATGTTTCCTTTTTTCAGTAGAGCTAGAAACCTCGCTGGGGCTCATCCAGAGTGAATCCATCATCCTGTCCACATTTGCCATGTATGTTGGCACAGCCACAGGTGCTACTGGAGGCGCATTGTCACGATACACCTGTCCATCCTCACGATGCCTTGAATTGCCACTTGCACTACCTTCACCAGCAAGCGGGTTATTGGGACTAGCAGGCTTCACTGAATACTGAGGCATCCCATGGCCAGAAGGTAAATGCTGCTGTGACTGCTGCACAAATTGATGATGAGAGCTCGCAACATCAGTATGGGCAGAACTTGGAGAAACTACTCTGTCCTTCTCGCTAGGAATCACAGGAATATGGCTAAACCCATAGGTCGATGGCAACTGTTGCGGCGGCATTGCTGCTGCTGCTGCTGCACATACACATGCTGATGCAAGCCAGTTGGATCAATGAGCACGGAGTTTGTAACCCCTTCCATCTTGGGCACATACACCCTCTCCTGTGGCACTGGATGCATATGTGTGTATCCATAAGCCCCCATTGGTGCCTGAACACCCCTCTCCGGTATCATCATCCTTGCCACATCTTCAGGCCGCAGGCTCATGAACACAGGCCCGGGCTCAGGAGCAGCCCCTCCATGCACCTCATTGCCATACTCATTCACCACCGGATCAGAGTGGGCGTGAGGCAATGCCTTCAAGCACATGTGGCAGTCCTCGAATCTTGGACCGTGCCCTGGTGGCTGCTGATTCAGACCCTGAATGGCATCTCTATGATCGTTCATGAACACAGGAGGCAGTGGTGGCAGCTGTGATAGTGGTTGCCGGTACCTCGCTGCCTCCGGATGGGGATGTGTAGCTACCTCTGGATGTGGATGTGGATTCGCCTGGGGAGCCCTCCCTTCAGCAGCAATCTCCTGTGGCTTAACCTGTACTGGAGCAGGAGCAGCATTGCTGAAGACATCAACAAGGGGCGGAGGCGCCACCCCAGCCCCACTGATGTTCGATCTCGCAGCATCATTTGAGCTAGTGGAGGTGGGGGAGAGCCCAGCTGGAGACCCAGGACCGCCGCCGCCACCTGACGGCGCCGGAGGGGGCAGCCCCCCGTCAGAGCACTGCGTGGACGAGAGGCTCGCGATGCTGTCCTTGCGCACAATGCCGTTGACGGCCTCCAGGTACCGAAGGCCCGCGTCGAAGCTCCCGGTCTCCAACTCCTCCCCGCCGGTGGCGCCGATGCCGCCCGCCGCATCCAGGATGGGGAAGATGAACACCCTCAGCTTCGGGCTGGCGCCGCTGAGCTTGTCGTACTCCTCGACCATGTTATCGAGATCCTCCGGCGAGGACACGGAGATGAGCGCGTCGAGCCCTTCGTCGGGGAGCTGGTACTTGACGGCGAAGTGCGGGCCCGTGGCACCGCCGTACGCGTCGGCGAGCCGCGCCAGGAGGTCCGGCAGCGACACCCCGCGCGGCACGGACACGATCCGGGTGTCCCCGCCCGCGTACCGCAGCGTGCCGTCCCCCGGGCGCGGGAGGATGCGCCCGCCCAGGCTGCACAGCAGCTTCATCCGCTCGCCGCCCCCGCCGCCGCCGACGCTACCGCTGTCGTCCGACGCCCCGGCGGTGGCGGCCATCCGCGCCGGCTGGGCCCACCACCCCTCCCCTCCCCTCCTTCGTGAACCTCCCTCCTCCCCCTGCTGGATCTAGCCTCGGGCTCCACCCACGAATCCAAACCCTAGCCCCCGCACGGCCCCGAGGCGCTGGCGCGGGCGGAAGGAAGAGCAGAGGACTGGAGCGGCGACTGGCTCAATGTTTAGCTCATGGCGTGGGCCGCGTCGTCGCTTGGTTTGCGGGGAATGGGAGGGAGGGAGACGGGGAAGGGGGACTAGACGAGTAGTAGCAGGGGCAGCCTGCGTGCTCGCGTCGGATTACTCAAAAACCCTCGGCTCGCTTCGGTGGCTGGTTTTCTTTTCACTTTCGTTTTCTGGTTTTCTATCTATTATACTCTTTCGGCGGCGGTTTTCCTTATGCAGGAGGTTTGTAGTTTCCTACTTGATCCGACTTTGTTTATGGCGTTTTTTTTCTTTCTGTTCCTCCTTTTCTCTGGTTGGTGTTGGATTATTGTAACAAAGTTTTTGCTTTTTTATTATAGGGTTAGTAGAAAAGAGTTGTGTGTGGAGACGGCATAACTATAGAATATTTCACATGAAGAAGCTGTGTTTCTGATAGAGCTAATAGTCTTGTTTCTGGTTAGAGGATTACTTTGATGACACGTCGGATTTAACGTATAGATCTAAGATAGATTCTCTGTGTAAACCATGATATACAAATGTGTCCGTGTATTTGCCGTTATAGGCCGTATACGGCAATCGAATCTATGTAGCGTATATGATGCATAAGCTAGATCTGAAACCGTTATCCATGCAAATATGTTTCTGCATTTTCTACCGTTGGCAGTATACGACAATCGAATCTATGTAGTGTGTATGATGCATAAGCTATATATAAAACCCTTATCTAATTGACGACAATTTACACCTTTCAACGTTAAAATCTAGCCCTCCAAAGTACATGGTGATGTTACTAGAACTTTCGCGTAGTGACAGATGTCGTTTATACAATTTCGCATGATACCAAATACATATACTTTCTTTAATGTATATTTTCTCAATTTCATTTTATTTATTATTGGTGTGCATTTCTGTGGCTAAGGTTAGTGTTCTAGATAAATGCTTCTAGGACTATGTATACAGGACGGATAGACAGGTATTTTCAAACCAGTGGGAGTCATGAAGCAAGGGTAATATGCATTGATAAATAATGGCAAAAAGACAACCAGTTAGGAGTTGGCATCGAATGGAATGATGTTAGTGAATTCGGATATGAAATCAAGAGTCGTTATAGACAGAGATGAAAGGCGAGGAGTCAAGCAAGGCAACTTAACTCGAAGATGAAGATGATGTTGTTTGATGGACAACATTGAGATTTACATAATTTTTAGGCAAAATTTGTCAGCAAAACTGAAAGTGGTGGTCGTTTGCTGGCGGACACAAAAAATGGAGCTGTTTGATAGAGGACACTCTGGTTTGTGCCAATTTTGCCACAGGACACCGTTGCCTTATTTTATTCATTTCTACCGGTTGAAGAGAGAGAACATTTTACTCTTGACATCTAGTGCCCCTGAGCCACATTTGGGACGGACCCGACCTAGATCGGCCCGGCCCCGATGGTTAGGCAGTACCTGGTTTGGTTGGACCAACTTATACTTTCGGCGGCCCCCTTACTCGCTCACTCTCCATCTGCCTCACTCACTCTCCTTCATCGTCTCCACGACAAAGAAAGTGGGCGCGGCTGTGGCGAGCGGGCGTCCTCGACCGGATAAGGCAAGGAGAGGCCGGATCAAGATGGCGATAGGCTCGGGCGCTACTTCGTCCTCCTCTACATCTGCGTGTTCATGTGGAGTGAGGGAGGCACAACCATTGTGCCCTTTCTATAGGACACCGACCATTGTGGAGCAGACCTCCAGAACCCAAAACAATCCAAATAAGCAGTTCTATACTTACAGGAATCGGGACTGGGTGAGTTGTTTTCATTTCTTTGGGATCCATTTTGGTGGTTTCAAATCCTAACCTATGGTTCATCCCAATCTTGCGCTCTTGGTCCTTGGCAGGGCAACGACAAGTGTGCTTTCTTCATGTGGAAGCCAACGAGCGTAGAAGGTGCTGTGGACACTGCAGTAGTGATGGCAGGCATGAAGGCGATGGAGACGGCTCTGTTGAACCTGAGCAATGTAGTATTTGCTCAGATGGTTGCTACCAATAGCATAGCTGGAGAGCAGAGAGTGAATAAGTGGATGAATATGGCCAGTGTGTTTGTAGGAGTTGTGTGCTTTGTTGCCATGTGCATGTTGGTGTATAACAATGCATGAACTTTGCTTTGTAATGTCTGTTAATTGAATGAAATGAAATGCAGTTAACTGATATTGCCAAGTTTAATACATTTCAATCAGTACCAAGTTTAACTGACATTGCCAAGTTTAATACATTTCCATCATTACTAACCATACCAAGTTCACTACAATACCAGTTCATGACAATATCAAGTTCAATACATTACAAGTTTTCAAACAAGAGGCACAAATATAAGGCAACAGGGCCCTCCAGCTGTTGTTGTTGGTTCTTGCATTGTTCACATGTCACAAAAGCCACAAAAACAACGTGCACAAAAGTCACAAAAGACCACAACAGGCATGTATACAAATCTTCCTTCTCTTGCTATGTTGTTTGCAGTGAGAAGTCCTTCAGGACCCTCTTGCTCCTAGTGCAAACGCTTGGACTGGATGTCAGCTGTGAGGTAGCCTGACTCCTAGTCATTGGCCTTGGCCTATCTGCCACTTGGTGTTTGGCCTAGCTCCTAGTGGCCAGTGAGTTGGAACCCTGCAAGAATGAACATGTGGTTAAGAGTTAGTACACAAACTGAAAAATGGTGACTCAAGAGATATAGGGCGTGATCACATACTGCATAGCTTGTTTAGGGGGTGTAGGCTCAGCAGGAGTTGTGTTCTTCTTCTTCGGTTGTTTCCCCTTCGAGGAGGCCTTCCTTTTTTGCTCTTGGATGGATCATTTGTGGTCTCTATAATCTCAACCACCTTTGGCTTATAAGTCCTCCTCTTCTTTGGTGGTGCAGGTGGTGGTGCATCAGGGTCTACGAATGTTTCATTGCAGGTTTTCTGGAGGTGGCCAAATCCACCACACCTTTTACACCTCCTCTTGCCCTTGCTACTTGACCCACCTTCTACAACACCAACCAACCTTCTTTTCCTTGGCCTTCTTATTGCTCTCTTGCATATAGGAGGAAGCAGTTTGAAGCCAATATCCACCTTTTTTCTCTCTTCTTTGTCTGGCATAGACTGGACTAAGTGAGGTCCGGTGTCAACAACCTCTACAATTAATGGCAACCTTCTACTCTCCCAATACACATGAAATGCTTCTAGCAGAGTAGAGTCAGAATCTATAGGCACTGTCTCATCCTTGGTTTTGTCAAAGAAAGTAACTTTCAGTGCTTGATCCTTCCCATGAACTATCTCCTTCGCAAGCATAGCATTAAAATCCATCCAATTGGTGGTATCCTTGTCCACCACACGCACGAAGTAATCAGTTACATGAAAATCATCGAGCCCGTCTGGTCTTTGCTCTACATAGGCAGGTACTCTAATCGCCACCCTACATGCGGCCGTTGGATCCATCCTAAATCAAAAAACATGAGATCCAAGCTAAATGATTTCAAACCATAGTCTTTCTAACGCATCTGCAGGCATACAAATTGAACGAGTATGAGTTCAAGAAAACTAACCCTTTTTGAATCCATTTGAATTGAAGCACCCTCGGTGGAGAACCTAGGCATTGCACGTTCTTCATGGTGGGGGACTTCATCTTCTGGTCGCGGGGTTGCTGCAGATCCTTAGCCCCCCATGGACGACGGCGGCAAAGGCTGGAGGTGTCTGCGGCAGCGGGCACTGGAGTGGACGGCGACACGGTGGGCATTGGAGTGGAGTGGACGGCTACCGCGGGAGTGGGATTGGGGAAAGTGATTCATGTTGTAAAGCCTATCTGTCAGGTCTAGGCCGGTCAAGGTCGGGTCCATCCCAAATGTGGCTCAGGGGCACCAGATGTCAATAGTGAAATGTTCTCTCTCCTCAACTGGTGGAAATGAATAAAATAAGGGGTGCGGTGTCTTATGACAAAAGTAGCACAAACTAGAGTGTCTTCTAGCAAACTACTCCATTTTGGATGTCCGCCAGCAAGCAACCACCACTTTCAGTGTCCGCTGGCAAATTTTGCCTAATTTTTATTTGATTACTGAGATTTATACCTCTCTATAAAATCTTATCTATATATAACTATCATTTAATAGATAGCCAAAAATGTCATAAATCATATTGTAGGCACACAAGAAATAAATTGAGGAGCCATCACCTTTGTTTTTTTTTTGGCATCTTCATTTCATTATCTCCTTTTTCTTTGTTGGTGTTGCATTGTTCAAAAGATTTTTACTTATGATAACAAAGTTTTGGCTTTGCAATTATATGGTTAGTTGGAAAGAGTTGTGTGTGAGACAGGATATGCAAAGGACTTTTCATATGAGAAGTAGTGTTTCTAACAAAACCAATGGTCTTTACCCTACTATCGGATTGCTTTGATGACATGTTGAATCTAGTGTGGAGATTTGATATAGATTGGTTACTTATGAGTGAATAAAGCTCGGTCTAGAACTGTTATCCAACAAATGGAAAATGATATCTTTACATGTTAAAATGTAGTTATCCAAAGTATGTGGTTACGTTACTAAACCTTTCGTGTAGTAACGGATGCCATTTATAGTTTACCATGATGCCAGATATATACTTTAAGTGTACATTTTTTATCAATTTCACTTTATTTATTATCGGTTTGCACATTTTTCTACTAAGGTTAGTGTTCTAGGAGAAGGCTCTAGGATTCAGGCCTGCCATAGGCCTATATCTAGAGGGAGGGAGGGACGGTAGATGTATTTTCAAACTGGTGGCAATCTAGATCTTGAAGTCAGAAAGCAAGGGTTATATCCATTGATAATTGATAAGGGCAAGAAGAAGAAG